CAAGATAGTAATGTGAATCAACATGAAAAAATAAAGAGCTCTAGTAAAAGAAATCATGCAGTTAGATATAAAACAATACAAATTTATTTTTTGTTAGTAACTTTTTTCTTTCTGGTTTAAATAAAAGACAACTTCATAAGGCAATAATTATAAATATATGTCGATGGGTGCAAAACGTATAAAGATGAAATTTGTGATAATAATAGCAGAAGGGAAGGGAAAATGGGACGACTAAAGAACAACATTTTTTGTTTACTTGAAATTAGGTTGTTATTGACACAAACAGATTGTTATAAATTGAGACATTAATGGTAATCCCTAGGGCAACCGCCAAGAAAAAATTCAAAAACATATAGTAAATGAAATAAGAGAATAAAATGTTACACTAGATAATATCTATTTAACATAAAAGAAGGCAGTAATGAAAAAACACAAGATTTAAAAATACATATGATGTATAGAAAATAAATAGCAAAGTAGCAGACAAATCTTACTTTATCAATTACATTAAATGTAAATAAATTAAACTTTCCAACTAAGAGATTGGAAAAATCGATTTAAAAAACATAATCCAACTATATGCTGTCTCCAAGAGACTCACTTTAGATTAAAAGGTACAACTATATTGAAATTAAAAGGGTGTAAAATATATGCAATGCAAACAGCAATAAAAAGAGAGCTGAAGTGGCTATCCTAACATCAGACAAAATCAACTTTGAGACAAAAATTGTTTCCGAAGACAAAGAAGGACACTTTAAAGTGTCAATTCTTCTGGAGGAAATCACAATTAGAAATATATTTGAACCTAGTAAGAAAGCCCCAAAATACATGAAGCAAACTGAGATCTTTGAGAGTAGAGAAGGCAGCTTTGTCCTAAACATCTAATTCCCATAACGCATTATAGTGGTTGATGTCCTATCACTCGGGACTCATTTCTTTGCGTTAAAGTTTTGCCTCCCTTACCGTTCTTTATTATGGCCCTGGAAGCCACCAATTGCATTGTAATTCCTTTTAGCTGAAGTTGGTTTAAGCGCCGTTGGGGCAGTTACTACTAGTGACAGAGACAAACAGTTGTGCCCTTTTTGATAGAGTATATATGTAAGGCCTGGCCTGGGCCCAGGAGGAAAGCAGGGAGAAGGAACATCTCAGAGAGGATAGAAGTATTAAGAATAGAGAAAGAGTATCAGACAGGAGCAGGGAGACAGCTAAGGTATCATAGGGGAACAAAAAAGTCCCACAGGAAGTGTGGAGCGGAACAAATGCTAGACAAGAAGCAAAGCAACTAGGGCATTGGTTTGGTGATGAGGTTCTTGATTTGGCAACTCAGGGCTGAGGGCAGCAGCAGAAGAAGCAAAAGGTGTAAGAACAGGGGAGCACATTTGACCCAGCAATCTCATTACTGGGTATATATCCAAAGGATTATAAATCGTTCTACTATAAGGACACGTGCACACAAATGTTCATTGCAGCACTGTTTACAATAGCAAAGACCTGGAACCAACCCAAATGCCCATCGATAATAGACTGGATAGAGAAAATGTGGCACATATACACCATGGAATACTATGCAGCCATCAAAAACAATGAGTTCGTGTCCTTTGTAGGGACATGGAGGAACCTGGAAACCATCATTCTCAGCAAACTGACATAAGAGCAGAAAATCAAACACCGCATGTTCTCTCTCATAGGCGGGTGTTGAACAATGAGAACACATGGACGCAGGGAGGGGAGCACTACACACTGGGGTCTGTTGGGGGGAAATGGGGGAGAGATGGGGGTGGGGAGGTGGGGAGAGATAGCATGGGGAGAAATTACAGATATAGGTGAAGGGGAGGAAGGCAGCAAATCACACTGCCACGTGTGTACCTATGCAGCGATCTTGCATGTTCTTCACATATACCCCAAAACCTAGAATGCAATAAAAAAGAAAGAAAGAAAGAAAGAAAAAGAACAGGGGAGCAGGCAAGAGCCAGGGATGGCAGTGAGCACAGGCCATTCATAGGTAAACACCCAGGAGTTGTGTGACCAGGTCTGAGCTGCCATCTGAGTGGTTCCCAGAGCACCACAGAGAGGGAGGGAGGACTGGGTGCTGAAAGGCTGTGGGCACTGATAGACAAACCAGGAAGCTGGGAAACTCCCAGGAACAAAGAACAGCAAGAGGCAAGCCAGATATGAGCTCAGAACTCAGGCAAATGGGTTGGGCAAACAGATGCCCAGAAGAGGTTATGTTTGTGAAAGTTCCCAGTTCCGGGCAGATGCTTAGTAACTATTAGCTGGTTCTAAATATAAAACTGAAGGAAGGCGAGTGGCCAGGACAGCAACTCAATGTTGACAACAAAAGTAGCCCCTACTTATTAACACCTCTTCTATTCTGGGCACTGCGCTAGGTACTTTACATACATTACCTCATCTAATACTAAAATAACCCTGTGAGGTAGACATTGAAAATTCCAATCTATAGATGAATGTGGATCCTGGCTAAGTGATTAGCTCAAGGCTACTACAAGGATGTGAACGGGACAGAGCCAGAAGGTTTCTCTGGCAGCCTCTGGGGCAGAGTGACAGCCCAGGGTCGCTCTGATCAACATGGTGGCTTAAAAGGAATGGGAGGAGGAGAGCTGAGAGCTGAGAGCTGGGGACAAGGAATCTCATTCTGTACTTCAGGCTGGAGTGCAGTGGTACTATCATAGCTCACTGTAATCTCGAACCCCTGGGCTCAAGCAATCCTCCTGGCTCAGCCTCCTGCGTAGCTAAAACAACAGGCTCATGCCACCATGCTCTGCTAATATTCAATTTTTTTTTTTTTTTGTAGTGGTAGGGTCTTGCCATGTTACTAAAGGTGGTGTCAAACTTCTGGTCTCAAATGATCCTCTGGCTGAGCTGGGATTACAGGTGTGAGCCACCACACGTGGCCTTCTCTCTCTTTTTAAAAGGGGGGTTGGAGAAGAGAGGAGCAGAGGCCTGAAGACCACCCCAGCCCCACTCCTTTCTCTCTCCTTTGAAGAATCATGGGGATTTACTCCACATACTAGAAGGCCAGACCTTCCCTGCCCTGAACCTTGCATGCTCTGTTTCTAAATGGAAGAATGCAGCAGAAATCCAGGGGCAATGTATTAGGAATAAAGACATTTGTGGGCTTAGGGAACCCCAGGAATGGCCTGCTAGCCCCATAAATCCCAATAGCCATGTTTGCTTTTTGTTAAAAGCAGAAGAGTGAGTTTACTTTCTCCATGGCCACCGTGACCTTCTATCCTTCCTTTCCCTTTACACACTTGACACTGACACACACACACACACACACACAAACACACACACATTTTAGGGCCACCTCTGGGTGACCCATGCATCCCCTCTCCCTGCCTCATCCTATTAATGGGACCGCCACCACTGCCCTTCCTTAGGGGAAGAGAGTTTCCTATGAATTCTCTAACCTTGGAATGAGGTCCAGGGCCAGCCTATAATAGAAAATAAATATGTCATCCTGTGCATCTGAGCAAGAAGAGCTCAAAGCATCAAATAGCCCATCCCTTCATTTTACTGCTGTGGGGGGAGCCCAGGGAGGGAGCGGGCTTGCTTAGGATCGTGGAGCCCCTCCTGGGACACCGTCCTCATTTTAGTTCAGCACCCTCCATGGGCTCTCTGGTTCCTACAAGTGCTCAAAGAAAGAGAGGAGTCTGCAAAAAGAGGTAGGTACTTGCCCAGGGGGCCTCTGACTATTTTGGGAGTCTGGGAGGAGGCTATTGGAACGCCTTGGGAACTCTGGCCAGTGGCCTTTCTCCCATCCATGTGGCTATGTGGCGTTGTCTTCAACTATCTTGTTGGAAGCCTGTGGACACGTTCTGCCCCTCTCCCTCTCTGTGTGCCCTGCTTGGGTGTAAACCACCCACTTTCCTGTAGGGGCCTGGGTCTGCAGGCCCAGTGATTGGCAGTGATCTTCGTAATAACTTTCATTCAACTTCCCACTCAGGGCAAGAGTGCGGTGACGGCCGGCTAGTGATGCCAGAGCTGGCTGGGAAGTCACCACCACCCAGCTGCAGGAGTCCCACGGGGCCCAGATCATTCCCCCTGTGCTGCTGCAGTCGGGTGCTACATTCTGTTCACTTCTCAAACACCAGCAAATGTCAACATCACAGCCACACTGAAAAAAATGCAGTGTTCCGGAATAAAGTACAAGAAAACAAAATGAAGTCAGTAACTCTGGCCCTTGCGCTGGGCCCCACTGCCTGCTTGTCGGTCTACCCTGTTAATCATCATGTACGATTTTTCAAAGAGCTATTTTGAGAAACATTTAGAAAATGGCTTATATATAGCTATATATACCTCATTTATACCTTCCAGAAATGGTCGCTCTGTTTAGCAGCAGATGGCTTTTTTCCACTAGTTTTCCTTTCATTTCTCAGTCAAAGTTAAGTAGGAAGTCAGCCCACTCCCTAACCCCAGGTATCCCTTCTCACCCACAGTCCACCCTGGAGTCAGGGTTGTGGGTGGGGGGTGAGAAGGAAAGGCTGTAGGTTCTCCATAAGGCACTGTTCCGACAAACTCAAGGGGGCAAAGGCAGTGGACATGGTGCTGAGAGGGAAGGCTCAAAGCTTGGGATTAGGGAAAGAGCAGAGCCCCCAGGTCACGGGTAGAATAGAATGTGGCTGCCCTGGTTTGTTGCAGTCAACAGCTCGGGTATCTCTAGATCCACACAGCATGTATAAGAGTATCCCTTTGGCCTCCGGAGAACAGGGGCCAAGCAAGATTAGCTACCCTGGCGGCACCTGAGTGCTGTGCCTTTGGCCTGCAGGAAGCCACAAGTCAGGCCCTGCATGGTTGTCATGGCAACAGCAGTGCTGAGGCTCCTAAGGGCAAGGAGAGGAGAAGGGGGGTGGAGAAGGCACATGGTGGCTTTTCTGGAAAAGCTCATCTGTTTCTTTCCTCCCAGGAAACTAAGTCAGGGAAACACAACAACAACAACAACAACAACAACAACAAAGGGATGGGCATCTGGGGTCTAGAAACAGAAAGGAGAGAAAAGACTCCGAGGTGCTCCAAGAGCAGCTCTCCTGATGGGATGTGCCTCCCTTCCTTTTGGGGGAGGCGAGTGACTGACAAAGAAAAGGACTGGGCGGACCCCAGTGGGCGGCATCTGTGCAGGAGCCACGTGCAGGATCAGGGCAGGTTCTGTGACCTCAGGCTTGCTGGGGGCAGTCCTGATAGGACCCTATCAGCCACAGCAGGATTTCTTCTTAGTGGGGCGGCTGACCTGAATGGTGTCCTCTCTCACGGTGTCTTCCTGTTCCTTGAGGAACCTGGGAGAGGGGAAGAGATGGTGTCAGCGATGGAGAAGTAGACAGGCCCGGGGGCTGACCACCTGGACCAGCCACCCTCAGGTTACAGGCCATCTGGGCCATTTGGAGAGAGCCCACCCTCACCTCGGCCTCAGAGAGTGTATTGAACATCTCACCCTGGACAGTACAGGTGCACAACTGTAATTGCAAACCCAGAGAGTTTAGTCGGCATGGATGCTTCAAGACACCTCCTCCAGGAAGCTCCTCGTGATCCTCTAGGTGAGCCTAAGAGCCACGAACAACATCCAACTCTTCCTCTGTCATGACCCCATCACCCAGTGTCACAATGCATGGCTTCCCTGGCTGTCTCCCTCAGCAGAAAATGAGTTGCTTGGGACCAAGACTTATCTTTTGTCTCTGTGCCTCTGCAGCCCATCACAGTGACCAACACACAGGAGAAGCTCCAAAATATACTGATGGGTTGTGACCTCTGCAGAAGGGCTATGCAATGTGGCCACAGCTCCAGATTAAATGTAGGAGGTGACGGATTAAAAATAATGGTAAACACCTTGTCTCTGCTTTATACTTTCAAAATGCTTTTGCATTACGCATCTCCTTTGATTCTCTCAACAACCTGTGAGTGGGCAGGGAAGGAAGGTGTGATTGATGTTTCTACCTTCCTGACAAAGCTCAGAGAGGCAGCAACTTGCCCAGGGAGTCAGGGGCAGAGAAAAGCCTAGAATTTTTCCTTATGATACTCCATAACCCCATAACCTCACCAATACATAGACGGGTTGTTCTGGGCTCTTAATTATTGAAATAAAAAAATCGTTTAAATGCCCCCAGAATGAGTGCTGAGCACAAAATGGGCTTTGTTAAGTATTTGTTGGATGGATGGATGGATGGATGAATGCCTAAGTATTGAAAATGAGTCCCAGCGTGGTTTTGTTGTTGAAATGTTTGGTGTAGGCAGGACCTTAAGGAACCAGTCTGTTCATGCTCTCAGTCCTTTTAGCGCTATTATCCTGGTTACCTCCTGTTGACTCCCCATCACAGCCCTCTTCTCTCTAGTTTCCACACCCACTCCCTTCCCCCACACCCAGGAACTCATATTATAACTCATTCTTGTCCCCAGTTGGCTTCCAACTAGTCCCTGCTAAGATATCAGCCAGTGCTGAGGGGCCCCTCATCTGACCTTTCCCAGAAGGATTTGCATTTGAAAAGAGCATCCCTGGGAAAAGACAGCTTTAAGACTAAGAAGAAGACTGCAATGGGGGTGACAGGCAGGGATGCTTTCTTTCCCAACATCATTGTTTCAGAAAGCTGCTCCTGACGCTGCAATCCCACACAAAGGCCTAGGACCCCATTACTTATACTCAGGGGGCTCCAGCCAATAGGGAGGAAGAGGGGTCTGAGGCACGGCCTGGGCAGAGGGAAATAAGGTGCCTCCCTGAAGGCAGACACAGCTGGACGCAGCAGTTACTGTACCTGGGGAGCATGTGTCTTTACCTGGCTAGATGGAGCAGGGACTCTTTGGTATTGTGACCAGAGTAGGCGCTACATTCATAGAAGATCAGATTGTTCTCCTAGAATCATAAAACAGAGTGAACACAAGAGTATTGGGGTGAGAGGGCACTGTGGGGGTGGTGGGAGAGCCCCTTGTGCATCTACCTACAGCCTCCGCTTCCTCTCGCAGGCCCCCTGACCTCCTCATAGCCCTTCCTCACTCTGTACACGGCTGATTTCTGTCTCCACAGGCCCCCTGACTGATGCAAGTTCTGTAACCATCTCCCAGGTGAGCTATAACAAGTGTAAAACCACGAAACCATTCGCTGCCTTAGTGCTTCTTTATACTTTCCCAAATCACTCTCAAGTGCATACATGCTCATTCCAGGTTATACCAGCCCTGCGATTCAGGCAAAGACACAAAGGCCAGGGCAGGCAGTATTCTTCCCCCTTCACCAGCACGTAAACTGCAGTGAGAGAGGGCACTTGGCTGACTTGTTCAGTCCCACACGGAGTTAATGGCAGAGCTCCTTACAGCATGCTTTCCCCAGCACAGTGGCATTCCATAGGCACTGGGGACAGGTGTCATGGGGCACTCCAGTAGGAATTCTCTTTCCCAGCAGTTAATGAGTGCCCTAGCCGCCCTGGCGGTCAGCACTGATGCACCTGACTGGCCATCAGCTCATTAGGATGAGGTTGTGCTGCCTGCATGGTGGGGGTGCCCTTGGCTAAGGCTCATCATAGTCCATGGATGATTCCCATTAGTAGATTACTGGCTTCATTATGACAATGCTGATGGCACGGGGCCCTGGCTTTTAGATGGCCCCTTCTTGGAGGCTGACGCCCTGAGGGGATTCAGGCCAGCTGAGTGAGGACAGTTCTGTGGCTGCAGCTCAGGAGGCACTGCCACGCTCCCAGTGCAGCTTTCCCCACCGACAGACACCCACAGGCCAGCTCCACCTTCTGCCCTCCTCACCCAGCCCCATGGGCTCCATCTCTCCCTGTCTGCATTCCTCTCAGATCTGCAATCTCTTGGGTCATTCTGTCAAAGAGTAAAGCCTCTATGGGGTGGGAACAGTGGGGAGAGAAGGGCACAGGGCTTAGAACTGGAAGATGTGATTTGCCTTCCTGCTTTGAGGTCTGACCCCACTTCGGATGAGCTGTGATGATCCGAATGTATCACTTAATTCCTGAGTCTCGGTTTTTTTTCATTGACAAAAAAAAAAAAAAAAAAAAAAAACAGAAAGAAAGAAAAAAGAAAAGAAAATAGATAGAATCTTTGGGTCCAGGTATATTTTGAAATCCAGAAGTTTTTGAATCTTAGGAAGGTAATACATGTATATGCCATATATTATATAATACCCTCAGTGGATTTCAGACAGCAGTTTATGATCAATATTTTAATATTTTTTCAGTGAGATTTTGGACATTCACTCAATGTGACCATGAATAGCCTCATGTCATTTCTGGTCAGATTTTTCTGCCAGATAAAATGCAAAACACCCTTCCTGTTTTCAGAGCTTTGTGGATTTTGGAATTGCGGCCATGTAACTGTCCGGTGACCCTCCACATAGATACCTGCCAGGCCCTTCTCTTTTTACCTTGGGTCTTACCATCTGTGCTCATTCTCCCAGGCTCTGAGCTCATGAAACCTTGTTTAGAGCAAGCATGTGAAGAATTACAGTCATGCAGCTGGTAAGCACCCCATCCTCCCAGACACACAGTTCCATGAAAACCAAACTCTGAGGCAATAAAAGAAGCCAGGGAACTACACTTTGTTGCCTGATTTCCATGAAGCCCCATCGATTCCATTTTTGGGCAAGAGGGCCCATGCTTATTTTAATGGTAGGTTTTCCAGTGTATCTCCTAAGTGTATCTTGAGTTCACGGCTTTGAGGCTCAATCCTGATAGAAAGGATGAACTCTAACACAGTGGTCTGCAGAAGAACATACTGCTTTGCAAAGAAGTGAGTTTTTGATCCCTGGGGTGATCAGGTGGAAACACAGATTGGAGGGGGATGGAAATAAGTCAACTATTGCTATCTTAGAATTTATAATTCTGAGTTACAAGGAAAGGACTTTAGGATAATTCCCCATACCCTAGTGGTCCCTAACTCCATCTTGCAATCTGTTGCTTTCTAGGCAAAGTTCTACATTTCCATGATGCCAGGACACCCACCCATCTTTTCCAGTTGCTTTCTTCCCATGGCACTTCCAGAGAAAGTCCCCACCAAGGCTCTTGGGTACTTGCCCAGCTTCCCTCAGGGTCACACTCTGTCCAGAGAGATGGAAATGCTTGCTCTTTACCTTGGCAAGCTGCTCTCCGAGGCCCCGGGGAACTTCCCGCTCCTGCTCATTGTCAAGCTTATTACCCAGCAGAAGAACAGGAACCTGGTCTCCTACAGCTTCCTGCAGAAGAGAAAATGTTTTCAACTGAGAGGGGTTTTATAGGATTTGCCCAGAGGGCAGGCTGACAACGCCGGCTGGACAAATGCAACCTGGCTGGAGAATCCCCGGCCGCCACAACAGGCCAGGCCGTAACAGAGTCATCCAGAAAGCAGGAAACAGCCACCTTCTCCAAGAGCCCCAGCTTATCACGCTTCTGCAAAGTGCGTGAGGCCTGCTTGTGGTGTCTCCCAGTCCCTGTGTGTGCAATGACCACACCCTCTTTAAGACGCTCCTCGGATCTTAGATGGAACAGCAGGGCCCCAAGATGTGCTAGATGATGGGACAGTTGATGCCAATGGACCGCGTGGCCGCTTCCAGGGCTTACAGAGCCCCAAAGCCTTCCTAAATGACCAGGTTTAGTCCAGTGGACCAAGACCATGCATGTCCCCCCGTTCAGAGTTGCTCTGGAGGCTGCTTTGAGTAGAAGCTGCATCACCAGAGGCTTCATGATAGCACATACGCTTCTGAGGGTTGGATCCAAATCTGCCTCGTGGTCTTGTGCCCACAGGGCTCCATAAATGACTGCCTTGTGCCTCATTGGAGGCGGGCACCGCAGACCCCCATCACCTGGTGCTTGGGTTCTGAAGAAAGCCTTATATAAGGAGGAACACTGTGACCATAGCAGCCACACTGTTTGGACCAGGTATCACACTGTTTACTCCCTCAGTAGCTGTGGCTTACCAGCCAGGGGCCTGCTTCCTGGGTCTCCACCCCCTCCTTGGTGAAATGGGCACTGAGTGTGTCTCTCCTGAGGGCGCCCAAAGGACCCCAGGACCACCGACTGCCATTCAGTAAGTAAATGTGGTAATGCGCACATTGAGGAAGGTTGTTATTTTTACTTAAATCTTTAATTAGGGGCCTTTAATCATAATTGAGTAACAAATAGTTATTCAGGTAGCTAAATGTTTTACTAAACAGAGGGACCTGTGGGATAACAGAAGCTAATAAGCAGTTACAGTTTTGCCAATACTTTAGCTGTTTTACCTGAGCTTTTCAAATAAATGCCCGAAGCCCATCTTACAGGTATCCCGATTTTAAGTTTAAATGCTATTATGTTTGAAATTAAGCCTCAATGTTTCCTTAATCTGTGCATTTGTTTTTACTGCAGTTCAATCGGGGGGAAAATTCTTATTTACCAAGTGAGAAAGTTAAGGTTCTGAGAATCCAAAAGAACATTTAACACCATAAGCACTGAATTAGGAGAACTCTTTAGTATATGGGTCTTCACTTCTCTAACCTTTTCCTCCAGATGCTTATCTCCAACCGAGTCTCTGCCACTTAGTGTCTTATTAACTGGAACTCTCTAAACATGCTATCTATTGGTGAGATGATAATACGTGTTTGCAATGATAACGCAAAGGCACTACAAGATCTTACAGTGTCTTCCGACCCATCAAAAATAGATTAAATTCCGGACATCTGCGGTTGATGTGCTAAGTGGATTGTACATATTCCAACTCCTTGAAAGTGAGAAAGCCACTCACGGCATATATGGAATCCTGTGGCCCCTATTAGCCAGAGCGTTGGCTGATGGGAACACCCCCCTCCTCTGACCGTGCTGTGCCACAGGATACTTGTGCGAAGTGCTTTTCACAGAAGGGGAAGAAAAGAGGAGGAAGCAGGGAAATGGGCCAAGCAGCTTGCTGTTGAAAGCACATGGGAGAGAGATATTTGTAGATTTATGTGTGAGGAATGACTAAGGCTTGTGGGGTTTCTTGACATGGAAACTCTGAAAATATGAGCATCAGACTTGAAATCCCAGGGCAGAATTCTACCCCAGGTTTTGTTATTATTTGGAATGGATGATGCCTTCTGTTTCCTCACTTGCAGAGGGCATGATAGATGCCGAATGACCAAACAGGATGAGGGAGGGAATGGGTCAGAATCCCAACATCTGGGCCCTATGCACCATAAGCAGCAATGGTGCCTCTTGCCTCCGAAAGGGCAATTCCTAGATATAAAAATAAAGGAGCTTAGAAGGAGCAGAACAAAAATTGAAAAAGCAAAGTGCCAGCAGGAGCTATGGTTTCTGTTCTTTGAATTGTTCCTCTCTTACACAGCCACGCTGGATAACTCACCTCCCTCCAGGGACCCTGGCCTGCCACCAATAAAGGAGAATTAGATTCATCTCCAAATATTTGGCAGAAATAAATAAGAACACCCATATGACCAGGGAGTGAGCTATCACAGTCAGTCAATCGCCGTCGCCCTGGCCCAAGGCCATCAGTCTCTGATGCAGGGGCAGCGAGAGGAGTTGGTGTTGGGCTGGACATCTCATGGTCCTCTCTGACTTTAACCCCAAAAATCTTGAACTATCTGTTTAAACTTTATTCCTTTCTCATCATACCTAACTAGGTTTTCTGCACAAGATGTTCAACATTACCTCTTAGATGAAGCAACACCTGCTTCAAGCCTCTAGGGCTTCGGTGAACAAGTCTCAGGTCTACTCAAACTCTGCTGTGGAGACTGGGAGAGACACTGGTAAAAATGCCTTTGGCGTGACAGGTTGGCGTGAAGTCATCTCAGCTCCTTCGTCAGGAGCAGACGTGGGTTCTGCCCTAGCTCTGTCACCATCTCTCCGTGACTCATCTGAGCCTTCTTCTTTTCTGTGTTTTGTTCCAAAATCAGGTTCTGTTCTATGACCCTTGAACAGAGAGCCCTCCCTCCACCTTCAGTCATTCCAGCTGCCTTTCTGTGAACTTGATCTTGCTGGAAGACAGACTTGCTGAAATGCAAAATATCACCCATCTCTGACTTGAAATAACAAGAGCTGTCAACTTGGAGCAGTGGACTGGCATTCAGCTCAGAATGTGCAGCTGCTGGGTTTAGTTGATTGTTGTCTGTGTGTGTGCGTGCGTGCGTGTGTGTGTGTGTGTGTGTGTGTGTGTATGTTTTTAATATCTATTTGCTAGGAGGCATGCAAAAGCACTTAGCTGGGATAGTGCTGCTATTTCTCTGGAGCCAGAACAAAAAATTTCTCAGCACATTAAAGCATGCAGTTATGCTAAGAAAAAAATGACTGCAAAATTATATCTTGGGGGTTTCCATATTTATCCATCCCCTGGACTATGAGTCAAAACAAGATTTATTTGTGTAGTTCGTTTTAAACTGCCAGCACTTCAAGCTCAACTTGGAACGTGGAGAAAAAAAAATCAAACTGCTATTTTTTGCACATGCTGTACATTGTCACCAATGCCAAAGATCACAGAATGAGGTTGAGCTAGCAGCCCAGGAAGGGATAGGGAAGTGAGCCAGGACCCCGAGAGATAAGCAAGAAAGTCTGCACAGTAAATGAACACCTGCTTTCCAGGAGCAGATTTCAGCCATGGCGCACAGGACAAGCGAGAAGCAGTGCAGTGTGGCAAAGCCCTCCCTTCTAGATCAGGGGGTACTGCCGACAAGTGTGGGTGCCTCTGGGAAAGTCACTTCCTCTTTTTGGATCACCATTTTCTTACTTATAAAACAAGAGGTTGCATTAATCTCCATGTTTTTTCCCAGCTCAGAAACACTGGTCTATTCAGCTTAACTTTGCCAATTCTATGTCACTTCCTTGACTTATATGCCTGGCAATTGAGTGCTATCAGAATGGCAAGAGGCTCTAAACGAGAAGCTCAGTATTCCACAACTGCAGACGCTGGGGGCCAGCAGTCTGGCTCTGGGGGAAATACCAGCCCAAACAGGTGTGCACAGGCTGGCATTCTAAATCCTATCTTCTCTACCTGACACAGGCCCCCGGAATCTTCTGATGCCCAGTGTGTCCAGGGGTCACAGATGGCGCCTCAGCGCCTGACTAGTTACTTTTCCAGGTTGGACTGGTTAAACCAATTCTACCAGCTGAGAAAAGAAGCTGGGAGTGGACTGGAAGTGCCGAGTGGCCCGAAAGGCTCCTTGTGTTGACTTCCCATAAGGCACACAGGAGAATTGGCAGAGTGTGTCCTGGCCCTGCGTGGGTCTCTTCTGCAGAAGGCCTGCAGGCAGGGTGAAGTTGCCTAGGCTGGGTGAAATGAGCACAAGGGCAAGGGCATAGCCTCCCACCTCATCAAGCAGGGCTGGTGCTCTCTTGCACCAGAGGATTTTGGTTCCCTCTGGGCTGGAAGGACCCTCCAGGGTCTTCTCATCCACACACATTCCTGCTCTGTCTTGGCCTCCCAGAGAGAGAGTCAAATGCCATCAAACACTGTAGAATTTGGGGTCCAGGAGGGAGCATTTGGTCTGCTCCCTCACTGAATGATTGACCAAAGTTTCATGGCCAGGAAGTGACCAAGATGGGATAGTAAAAACCCCCTTTCGGGCGCTCCACTACCTCCCCCGAGCATCTGCTCCCACCCTACGCAGCCTCTTCCAAGAGTAAGTCTTCCCCATGCAGGCACGTAGAGCAACTGAGGCCCTTTTTTCTTGTATGCTTTTCAGGTGGAGGGAGAAAGGGGGATTGTGAACAGCTGGCCACCATTCACTTACTAATAAGGCTTCAGAACCCTGAAGACTGTAATTAAAGCACCCCCTCCACCCTCCCTTCTCCAGGCGAGGGAGTTGGTAAAGTGCTTGGAGCTCTTTGGAAAAATACGGTGCTCCACAGATATAAGGCACTTATTATTTTCAGTTCCCCTCAGATCAAATTAGGTGTCAAGTTTTAATCTATCACCTGACACCTCTGATTGCTGGTTGCCAAGGCAGAATGACTTAGCTTTTCAAGAATCTGGAGAATAATTGCATTCATGATGCCACCGTTCCGCACCTTCAACACACGCTCTGCCATTTCACACAGCCTCCTGCACTCGCTCCTGAAACTCTGTGCTGCTGCACTCAACCTGTTTCCCGGTCTGTCATCCTGAGTCTCAGAGCACCCAGTGTGTGCTGGACATGCCGTAGATGCTTAGAAAGCTCTTGGCGATGGGTCACAGGCGTCTTTGAATGTGATTTAGGGCTTTGCTACTCCAAGGGTCATCCCTGGACCACCAGCATCGGCCTCACCTGAGAACTTGCTAGAAATGCAGAATCTCAGACCCCAGCTCAGACTTGCTGAAGCAGAAGCTGCATTTTAAGGAGGTCCCCAAAAGAGTCCTATATGTGCTAGGGTTCAAGGAGCACTTGTTTAGGCTGGGAACAGTGGTGGCTGAGAATCAAAATTCCCTGGGGAGCTGTTAGGAATTTCTTCTTTTCTTTTGCAGTCCCTGAATCACTCTGGGAGAGAAGGCCCTGGCCTCTGTTCCCTTTAAAAGCTCTGCAGGTGATCCTGATGTTCATCTAGGTTTAGAATCATCAATTACAGCTTAAATGTATCTTTGACTAATATCTTAAAAAAGGAAAAACTCAAGCTACAAATCATATGGAAAAACCCCATTTACACATAAGCGATTCTCATTTCACCATGTATAGATTTGCCCTTTCAGCCGGGCTTCCCAAGCCTACAGACACACCCAGACTTCCATGGGTCTCTTAGCAGCCACGCGCCACTGACGCATTTCAGCCCTGTCCCACAAAGCAATGTTTCTGGAGGATGACTAAACTCATGCTTCAAGCTGTGATGATGGCCTTCTGAGATGTCTTCACCTCCACCACCAAACTGTTCCATCTCTCCTTCTAGATCCCAGGCTCTGTGCAAAACAGGAGCCTTAGAAACGACACCCCCTAATGACAGCAGAGAGCACAGTTCCACGAATTTGTCACCATCCACTCCCATTAATCCCAGACCCCCTGGAGGTTTAGCCCTAGCACACACCAAAATTTAGATATTGGGGTACACCTAAAAATGTCTGTGAAAAGGACACGTGACCTTGGAGAAGGTAGGGCTTCCCTTTCTTCACTTTTAAATGAGATGGCTTATACTAGATGGGTGATTTTCAAAGGGAAATCCTTTTGTGTAACAGAATTGTACCTAACCTTCAATATGCTGAAAAAGGCAGGGAAGCTCTGATGGAGATGGAGGATGAGGGACCCAGATCCATGACCACTAAACCTTCCCTTGCCACTCCCCAGTCTTTGGGGAGTGTCAGTCTGATTCTAGGGCTCCAAGGAGGAAAGCCTGGAAACCCCTGGATTAGGTAACCCCTAACATCTCTCCTGGTGCTTCACTTCAATAAGGAAGATAAATCTGCTGGTGCTGCCAACGGCACAACAAAAAAAGTAAAAAAAAAGAAGAGAAAAATCATGTCATAAATCCCAAAGTTTAGAAAGAAGTTACTGCCAGATTCACCCATACCGTTTGCTTCCGTTATTAGTTTGGTGTATGGGCAATCCACTAGCTACGTTTCAAAACTTGCATTTTCTCATTTTTAGCGTGTTAGGCACAGTAATTTTGAGAAATAATAGGTATTAGGCAAATTCTTGAGAAACCCTTGAATCTGGCTTCCATTCTGTGCCTTATTTTTCTCAGTAATCAGAGGGAATCAGATGAACAATAGAGAGAGAGGTGACCCAGACAGGGAGAACCACAGAGAAACGGATTTGGGTAGAAGAGATCGCAGATCTTAGGGCCAAAAGGGATGAAGAAATTGACAACTCCAAGATTCTCCTTCATAGTAATGTGGTATCCATTCATTCATCCAGTAGTTGTTGGCCTCATGCAAAGCACCCAGGTTATAGCAACAAAGATGCAGCTCCTGTTCTCAGGCAGCGCGGAGTCCAGTGGGAGATAAAGGCCACTGTAGCAGTGTGATAAGTATGTGACAGGAGCATGCAAGGTTTTCTCGGCCTGGAGCAGAGAGCTGAGCATAAGCTTCATGAGGGCAGGAGCTTTGTCTCTTTTATTCACCGCTAGGATTTCCAGGCCCTAGAAGAGTGCCTGCCGGTGTTTGGAACAAATAAATGAACAAATCCTGAATCCAACTGGTAGAAGAGGTGGGGCGTCCTACTTGACTGTTTTGTGAAGGAATCAGCTGAAGCCTGGTAAAAAGCAATTCATGGCTTGGCCACACTGGCATTGGCCTTGAGAAGCCCGCATTGGAGTGGTAGGAAAACTTAAAAAAAAAAAAAAAAGCACGTATGAAGCAACACATTGCAAGTAGAAATCATAAAAGTAGAGCCTCCCAGATAACTCAGAATGAAAAGATAACGCGGTTGCTCTTGGGGCCTGCCCAGACCTTTGATTTTGAGGTGAGCCTGGAGCCGTCACACTCTGGATCAACCTCCCCTCCTGTGAAGGTCTGTGACATTGCATGGTGTGGCTGCCGGGCAGGGCATAGCTGGGTCTACTGGAGTTGGAAAGACTCAGGGGGTGGGAAGAGGTGCGGGTGAGAATGAGGGAAGAATCTGGTTGTGACTCAAACACTGATTCTCCAGGACTCTTCCTTGACACCCCACTGGGTCCCCTTCCCCAATCCAGTCCCACTCACTCACGGCCCAGCAATGACAGCTGCTGGCATGATCTGGATTTTCTGTGTCCCTCTCTCCATGAAGGCAGGGACTGTGTCTGTCTTATTCCCTTCTGGGTCCCCAGTAACTAGCCCAGTACCGGGAACTCAGGTGAACAGAGGAACAGATGTCTGAATCAGTTTGTTCCTGGGAAAGGCAAGTTCCGAATCAGATTTTGAACGTGCAGAGGCCCAGGTGGGCAGATGGACAGAGAAGAAAAGAGAAGCAACAATCAAGCCTAAGGGCTCCTAGGAAGGTTGCCGGCTCACCTCCACGCTGCTCAGCCACCGCCGGACCGACAGGAATGACTGCTTGGCTGTGAGATCGTACATGATGATGACAGCATCAGCCTTTCTGAAGAACTGCTGGGTGATGCACCGGTACCTGCCACAGAAGGGCCAGGGCTCAGGCATGCACAGCCTTCCCTCTAGAGCCCAGAACTTCAGGCCCAGCTCCTCACCTCTCCTGCCCAGCCGTGTCCCACAGCTGCAGGGCCACCTGCGAGTCATCCACATTCACCGTCTTCACACGGTAATCAATGCCTGCAGGGTGAAACGGGGCTGTCAGGACTGCCCTGGGCCAGGGGCACCTCACTTCCAAATCAAAACACGATGCTTCCAATGTCTGAAATCACGTCAGGCCCAGGGTGACAATCCTCCCTCTGCAGCTCGTTGGGGGCCAAACGAAGGACAGGGAGGAAGGGGACCTGAGCTCTTGTCCAGTCTCTGCCACTTACCAGCTGTGGAACCTGGATCAAATCACTTAACCACTCTGAACCGTGGGCTCTTAACTACAATAGAAGCCAGACGCTCTTTCTCTCTTTCCTTCTATCTTTCTTTCACCTAAAATCCGTTCCGAGGCCCCCTAGTAAAATTCAAATGTCCTAGGGGGATGGCCTCCATCAACCAATCCAAAGGCATATGGAGGAGGAGGAAGAAGAAGGAGGGGAGGAGGAGCAGGAGCAGGAGGGGAGGGACTGGCAGGTAGAGGAAGGCACAGAACAGAAGGGCTAAGAGAATGAATCGAAGGCAACGTTCACCCTTGAGATGGGTCAGAGCTCCTCATCCCACCACTGGACAGTTCACAACCATCTCTCCGGGGCTGTGACCCCTACCTGGGGTCCTCAGCCCCAGAGAGAGGGGGCAAGGTCAGTGAAGTGCATTCGGCACCCCACACAGCCCTCAGAGGGAACACAGGCGTTTTGATACAGGCGTTCCCCACTCCTGCATCCTGTAAGAATGTTCGCAAAGGCATGAAGAGGTTGGAAAGTACATCCCCTCCCCACTGCCACTTAAGGTGCCACGTCTTAGGACTTTAGGGCACCTTCTGTAACTTTCAGAGGGGCTCTGAGGTGCTCGCCCTGTAGGGCTCAGGAATATGAACAGCATCAGCAGCTTGGACAGAGGCGGAAGAGAACGAACAGGTAACGAAGAGGCAGTACGTGGAAAAGGCCATCCCCGCCACTGCCGCTGGGCAAAGCCTAGTGCATTAAGGACCCACGAGTGAGCAGAGGTGGGAGAATCATCCACTTCCAGAATGTCAGGCACAGCGGGGAGTCTAGAGGCCTCTGCTTCACAGATGAGGGCCAGAGAGGGGTGGAACTGTCTGGGCTGAGAAGGAGTGATTTCTCCCATTAATAAATAGAATGCTTTCTCTTTCCAGTGTTTCTATGTGCCGCCTATCCACCTGCACAGAGTCCCCCCGTGACATCATGTGAGTTATCTCCACACACATGCACACACACACACACGTGCACTCATACATACATGTTCACACATGCATCGTCGAGAGACAAAGCAGGAGTCACGCAGTCGTGCCTTGACCAGGCTGGTGGGTAGCGAGGTGAGCTGTGATCCCAGCTCCAAGGCCCACTGCTCCTCCTGCAGCCGGACTCAGGGCACAGGATGCAGGCGGCTTAGCTTCACCTAGAAGGCCCAGGGCTAAGTACTCCCAGCAAAACAGATTACAATGGCTGGCAGTTGAATCCAAGGGTGAGTTTTCTTCTTGGTCAAAAGTGGAGGGATTTCCCCGGTCTGTGCTCTGGGAGACCGGTTTGGCTGTGGGGGATGCCTGCTTTCTGGTAACAACTCAGGGGAAAGCCATCCATGGTTGTACAGCTTCAGGGCCAGATCTGAAACCAGCCAGTGGTCCTCGAGGACAGAGCCCTCTGCCTGCTGGTAAGGCTCGCAGATGGAAGGGCAGGGAGTTTTCTGGGGCAGCTGGGTCTTAGCTGTCCTCAGCTCCTGCTTCACCTTATGCGCTAGGTGCTTTGCTGGAGGACGGGCGGCTGTCTCTTGCAGGGAGTGGGATGGGCAAAAGGGTGTGCTAGAAAAATGTGTTCTGTGCTGTGGGGAGCTTGGTGAGGCTCCCTGCTGGACACGCGATGTGTTTCTCTCTGCAGCCTCAGACAGGCAGGCCAAGGAAGTGGATAAACAGGCTCTCGGGGGCTGGGTGTGAAGGACGCAAGGAGAAGACAAGGGGGTGGGGATGAAGAGTCGGCGTGTGCAAACATGAAGCCGGAGAACACGAGTCCAACAGGATAGGCAACACAGAATAACTGGGGACCGGAGGGCCTGGGTTAAACTGATTTTAAGATTACCGCCAGTTCTGAAATCCCAGGAGTCAGGAGCCTTATGTTGTATGTTCCTTTCTCAGCTCTGCCACTGAGCAGCAATGTGACCCTGATGCCACTGCTGAGCTCATTTTGGGGGTGGGGGTTCTCTCTCCTTATCTGTAGATGGCCGTAAGATGGAGGTATGAAGGGGCTGAGTTGGATGCTCAAGATCTTGAAGTTCAGCTGGAGCGTTCAACCATCACACCCAGGTGACCCTTGTTTGCAAACAAATTGCTTCCCGAAGGATGGCTGAAGTCTGGAGCCTCCTGCCGTCTTGAAAGGTGCTGTGGAGAGGGTGTGGGTTAGCGCTGGGATGAGAGTTGTCAGGAGGGTGACCTTAACCTTTCTTGAGGGAACAGGCCTGAGTGGTCATAAGGCAGGAGCGATGGGGGAGCAGTGGCAGCAAAGTGCTCTGAAGAATCCACCCTAGGGGGCTGCTGCAAGGACTTCTGGGTAAAGATATGCAGTGGGACAGACACTAGACTGGTGCCAAGATAGGGTGAGGGCATCTGCCAGAAACAGCTTCTGGAAGAAACACTCTGGGTTCTGGCCTGTGATTTAATGCAGGGAGGTTGTGAACCAATGTGGAGTGGCGGAAAGAATGCTGGACTCAAGAGTCCCGGGTTCCAGGGAGCGTTGGCTAACTCGAATGATCAGTCTGTTGTGGATCTCAATTTTCTCACTTACAGCATGTCAGGATGTAATGAGACCATTCCCAAGGTTCCTTCCAGGTCCAGCATTCTGCAAAAACCATCAGTGTTGTCTTCAGGATGCCTGCAGGGCTCAAGCACCTGCTCTCGAAGGAGCAGACTGGGCCTTAGGTGGGGCAGGCAGGGCACTCCAGTCACCAGTTGCACTGTAGCAACTTGAATTTCACACAAGCCACTGGTCCAGTACAAAGCAGGCTCTTATGAGGGAGTGGGAGACCAGGAAGTTGGAGCACCCTGGGAGGATGGAGGTGAGCTGGAAGAACAGCCAAAGCCCTTCCACCGTGTGTAGCTGCTGCCCTTGACACGAGATTGGCCAGAGCCCTGTTCCGGGGTTGGACAGCTTTGGCTTGAGACGCTGTGACTCTGTGGCAGTTATATCTCTTTAAAGGGGCCGGCCTGCAGGTAGCTGGCGTGACATCTACTTCCTGACATGAGTCCCAGAACAGGGCCTGCAGTGTGGCAGGGAAACTAATTTGAGCTGCTGCTTGAGTATGTGTGGAGCAGCGTGATGAAGGGCATCCTGATTTGGAACCTTTGATATTTTTTCCCCTTCCTAAATTGTAGGGTGTTTCCATAATTGGCCTCCTGGGAAGTGCGAATGAGTCTGATTTTCTGTTTTTCAGAGTCTCCTGTGTCAGGGGCACAAGTTGAAAATGTAAACGGATCCTGATTTTGTTGTCAGGAGAGGCAGGCCACATGCCCACTGCTCAGGGGATATGCCTCTGAGGCCTGAGGGCTGGGTACCGTCTCCCTGTCTCCCATAGGCCTGTGCCAGAGCCGAGATTGTAGGGCCTCCCCCATGGAATGCCCTCAGGGAGGGCAAGTCAACCTCCTGGACGCTGCCTTTTGTGTTACCACGCTCAGCACACTCCCAGCTTCTCCTCCCTCAAGGCTAAACAAGGCCAGGCTCTTCCGGGCTTCTTTTGCAGGCTCTGCCCATCAGGGTCCCAATTTTTGTCTTGGGATGCTCTCAATCTTTGGGTGGAGGAGAGCAGAAGGAAAGAAATGGGAAGATGTTCCAGGTGTCGTAACAGTGTAAGAAAAGGCCCAGCAGTGAGGTCGGAGCACCTGAAGCACATAGGCAGAGACCCCTCTATGGGAGAAATGTTAGAAGGGCCAGTTTAGGATGAGAGAAAGAAAATGGAGTCTCCCGGGCGGGGCTCTGGGCCGCTGAAAGCTTGTCTTGTAGAACCGGCTTGTCACACAGCTAAAGGTGGAAGACGGTTGTGTCAGAGACCCAGGCTGGGAGGCAGTCTTAGAGTGTGGATACAGTTTGGATTTGTATCCCTACCCAGACCTCGTGTTCAGTTATAATCCCCAGTGTTGGAGATGGGGCCTGGAGGGAGGTCAATGGATCATGGGAGCGGATCCTTCATGAATGGTTTAGCTGCATCCCTTTGGTGCTGTCCTCATGACAGGGTTCTCATGAGATCTGGTTGTTTAAAAGTTTGTAGCACCTCTCTTGTCCTTTCTTCCTCCTGCTCTGGCCACGTCAGACGTCTCTGCTTCCCATTTACCTTCCGCCATGTTTCTAAGTTTCCCGAGGCCTCCCCAGCCATGCTTCCTGTGCAGCCTGCAGAACCACGAGCCAATTAAACCGCTTTTCTTTATAAATTATGCAGTCTCTGGTAGCAGTGCAAGAACAGATTAATACAGGTACCCAGTCGCAACCTCTCATTCTTCAAATGGGAGAAAACTGAAGGCCTAAGAGGCATCACATCCTCTTGAGGTCACACAGCTTGTCATTGGCAGGGCCCAGAGGAGGATTCAGGACTTCTGATGTCTCACTTAACCTCCGCAACCCCCGACTGCCTGCACCAACCTCTGCCCACCTCCAGAGGCAGGAAAGCATCCTCACCCCTCATGGGGTGCTAAGCACATACAACTCAATTTAGGGACACTATTGGCATGGAACAGAAGGTAGCTGCGGGGGAAGGTATCAGCACCAACCAACTGATGGGAATGTGAATAAGCCTCTAACTTCTCTGGGCCTCAGTTTCCTGATTTGTTGACTGGGCTGATAACAGTACCTGCCCCCAGCGTTGCTGTGGAGATAGATGGAAAGGATGACTATAAAAGTTTCCGGTAAATATTCAGGTCATACAAATATATTTTCAAGTACAGTTGACTTATCAGCTCAGTGAAATAGGCATGCAATGTATTTGTTTTGTGTTGAGTGATTCAAGCTAAAAGGTCCGTATGCCCTTGGGTCTCACCACATATTCCAATATAACCTGCAACTGTGGGTGAAGGGATTAAAGGCCTCTGTTTAAATAAAATATTACCCAGAGTGGGAATACATTAAGCCATGATCATCCATTAATAGCCGAGCCTAATGAGCTTCCACATTTAAGTCCAGCTGTCACCCAGCAGGCCGGAGAAACAGGACAGATACAATGTGATGGGCAAAAGAAGCCATCCAGGAGCAAGGCCAGGAAGTAGCAGGCCCTCAGGAAGACAGGGGGATGGGTGGCAGGATGTGGGTCTCGGGGGAGTCCCAGTCAGTTCGAGGGGAGCAGGAAGACCCAGGGCTCTGCTGACAGTGGGGAGGAGTGGTCAAAGGGAGGGAGTTCCCACTGAAGAGGTAAGGGGCCCTAAATCTACCTTTACCAAATGTAGTTCCATAAACCCAGAGCTGGACTTATGAGGTACCCAGGGGTCCCATCACACACAGGATGAGCTTAGCAGCTAGTGATGTGAGGGGAGGTGGCTTCATCTTGCCCCTTCCAGCCTCTCTGTTGAACAGAGCAGACACCAGCAACCCGACCAGCCAATCCCACAGCCCCTCCCGTGGGCATTAGAGGCCCCCTGCCCCAGGCCCCCTTCTCACAAACTTCCCTTCCCAGAGATAGGCCAAGGACCCACTGCAGGGCTGAGAACTTACCCACAGTGGCCGCCATGCCTGGGGAGAACCGGTCCTCACAGAAGCTCTTCAGGAAGGATGTCTTCCCCACCGCGGCATTGCCCACAAACACAATCTTGAAGAGCCGGTCAGGGGCAGAGGGAGCGCTTTCCTCCTGTGGACGGTATACAGTCTGACCAACTGCAGGGCACAGTCTAGCCAGCCCCTGCCCCAGCCACCAGTGGCCCTTCGCCCATCCCTGCAGTGGCCCTCAGGAGGTACAGACCAGCCTCCGGACCCACAACAGGGAGGCTGCCACAGCCTCAGAATGCAGTGAGCATAGTTGGTCTCAGGGCATGGAGGCTCTTTCCAGCATCCGCAGGAGGGAGGAGAAACAGCCTCCCGTGTGACATTTGCTGGCCACCTCCTGTGGTCAGGGAGGCAGAGGCCGACCCTAGATTCCGGTGGGGTGGAGGAGGCAGCATGGTCACAGATAAGGATAGCTCGGTGCTCCAGTGAGCGGATCTGAGAGGGGACTTCAAGAGGAGGCAGGAATTCTCTCTGCAGGGAAGGACAAGGTGGGACTTTCGCAGGGAGAAGGAGAGAAGGATGAAAGAAGGCTTATCCTCATCACAGGGGCGTGCCAGGTTGGGAGAGGGAGTTTCTTATTTCTGCCCTATCCTTGGGAGCCTGGACTAAATGGAGGACATTCTTGCCTCCCTGCAGATCACTCTCTGTCCATCTTATCAGCTCCCATCAAGGCACTGCCATCTTCCTTGGGTAACTGGGGCACGAAGGTCTCCACTCAGGAAGCTGGGAAATGCCAGGCGGCCGGGCAAAGCTTCCGAGGGTCCGCCAGTCACTGCTGCCCCGTCTCTTGGACCCAGCAGAAGGAAAAGGCTGGGACACGAAAGCCCAGAGGGGAATGAACTTGCTCTGGGACACAAAACTAGTAGGAGGTTGAGTAAGGAGCCACCTTCCACCACAGTGTCCTTCGGAGGAATGATCATTCATTCCAGGCAGCTGCCGCTCGACCACAGGAATCTTGCCTTCAGGCCCTGCTCTTTGCCTGGTCACAGGAGAAGGCTTTTTTGAATCTATTTAAAAGTGAATTTGGAGGAATTAGCTCCTCTCATTGAGCAAATACTATCACGTAGTGGCAGTTGTATTAGCAGTACTTGAGTTTCAGATAAAAAGCCATTAACTGCCTTCTGGAGAGAAATCAATTCCAGGCAGTATTTAGGAGATAATTCAAGGTCGACTATAAAAATTTAAACTAAAAGTGTAAAAAAAAAAAAAATAACAAGCAACCTGGACTAAAAACTATGCCCACTGCCCCATAGTCTTCATTCATGCAGTGCACAGGGGCACCGACTCTCTGCTGGTCCCTCTACTTTTAATTGTTATTTGAGACTAAAACTCAGTGCATCAATCTAATACACCCAAGCATAATACAGGGTAAGGAAGGTGAAACCCCAAATGGCAGGAAATGGTCCTGCTGGCAGATGTGTGGCCCGACCCTTAGCCCTGTGGCCTCTGCCCCACCCCAGGCAGGGCACTTTTATTTTGCAGGCAAAAGCCCATAAACAAAACACATCAATGGCTCCGCGTCAGGCAGGACTCACCTCACAGGAGCAGCGAACTCTCAGGTATGTTCATGCGCTTCACCTGCTGTCCCCTCTGGGGGCCAGGCCACCTGCCACAGGGCAATGAGATGGCTGGATTGCAGGGAGGGGGCTGGAGGAGCACCTGGCTGGCAAGTCGTCCATCCCCCCTCCCTTCATGCTTTTTAATTTAAAAAATAAGCTTTTAAGAAATAAACTATATGCTAATTTTCATAATTATGATCTACACAAAAGTGGAGAGGAAATTAATTCCTCATAATCTACCCTACCATCCTGAAACGGTCGCTATTCATATCTTTTTATTTTTTAAGAGAGAGGATCACATTCTGCTGCCCAGCCTGGAGGGCAGTGATGCAATCACGGCTCACTGCAGCCTTGAACTCCTGGACTCAAGCCTCCCGCCTCAGCCCCTGGAGTTGCTAGGACTACAGGCATGCACCACCATGCCTGGCTAATTTTCTTATTCTTCGTAAAGACGGGATCTTGCTATGTTGCTTAGGCTGGTTTTGAACTCCTGGCCTCAAGCTATCCTCCCACCATGGCCTCCCAGATTGCTCAGATCACAGGTGTGAGCCACCATGCCCGGCCCACAATTCATAACTTGATGCATTCCTTCCAGTTTTGTTTCTATATAATCTTTGTTTTATTTACAGAGATTTGAGAGATATATATATATACAAACTTTTATTCTACTTTATCATATACTATTACATTATAAATATTTTTTAGTCACTAAAGATTTTTGAAAATATTTTTAGCAGCTGTATAATAGTCTAGTGAATTAATATACTATGCTTTACGTCCCTATGACATTTTATTCACCTGTTTGCTATTAGAAATAACTCTGGCATTCTTGAGTTAAATCTTTGTCTGATTTTGGTTATTTCCTTATGAAAAATTGCCAGCAGTAAAAGTGCTGGTTCAAAGGAGTTCTTGATTCCTATTACCAAACGGCCTTTCAGAAGGGTCGTACCAATTTACACCTCACCAGCCTCGTACGGGAGGGCCTGCCTTGCAGTAGCTCTCAAACAAGCATCCCTTCTCCTGCTGGAGCTGCTGCGTGGCTGCTAGTAACTCATACTTCCTCCCTGCTGCTGTTCCTATTCCCAGCAAAATGGCAGCAGGACCTCGTGGAGCGGGCACAGAAGTGAGAGGGCTCCGTGAGGAGGGCTGGGCTCCCCATCACGGTGGGGCTGGCCTCTCCCTCTGAGCTCCGACTTTCCCATAAGTCAATGGGGAGAATAAATTTCTGACCTGACTCATCGGATGGTGGTGAGGATAAATTGCCATAGCAGCTGTGGATGCTTGAGACTTTTTCTTTACCCCTATCTCCTACTGACCTCTGGACACTTCTTTCACATTTTAGGGAGACATGTTGGAGTTATAGAAGACCCCAATTGGTACCTATTGCCAGAAAGTGTAGGTCTGCGCGTTGAAGGGGATGTGGAAGGGTATGCAAGAGTGGGGGGAATCCCACATTGCTGCCACCCAGCTCTCCACTCTCCCCTTGAGCCAGGGCCTTTGAGGAGTGATATGTGGGCATGAGTGTTAATCCTGGCCTGAGAACGGTAACCTATGCCAGAAAGCCAATTAGGTAGCACACATCCTAATGCAGCCACTGGGGAGAGTTCAAGGTGGCAAAAGCTCAGTTCTCAATGGCTGCCGCAGCGTGCAGGGAGGAGCCTCTTTTTCACACTATTAAGGATGGCTCTAAAGCTGTTTCAGAAGGCTGAGTGCAGGATGAGGGCTTGAGGAGCCTATTCCAAGGCCTGGGTCACAAACAAACTCCTACAGAATTTAGTAGGAAGACCTGGTGGGAAGTGCAGGGACACTGAAGGGAGGAGTAGGCAGGACATTTTGGAGTGAAAGTGTGATTGGCTGATTAAGAACCAAGAGAAAAACGATGGCATGCAAAGTTTCTGAAACAGACACTGGCTCTGCTAAGAGCAGTTACATGGCATGCAACTTTAAAAGTGCATGAAATTGGATGCTAGGAGCCTAGTAGGTGCTCAATGAATGCTTCTGAATCTGAATCAGAAGAGAGAGCACAGGGTCGGAAAGGGGGCAAACAACAGAAGTTTAAGGAGAATTTATCAGGACCCCTGAGTCTCCCCTCATGACACTCAGCTAAGCAGGGGAAGGAGGTATTTGGAGGACACAAATGTGTTCAATCGCAAGACCTGCAGCATCCGACCCTCTGAGCTGCGTCTCCAGGCTCCTGACCTCAAATGCAAAAGACAGATCATAGGAGTAATGTCCACGAACCAATGTAGGCTGTGTCCTTACCTTACACAGGGCTTCTTTTCCAACAGGCTGCCCTCGGGGAGATGTGGGGGTGAGTTTCAAGGGCGGGGCCTCCTGGATTTGTCCCTGTCCCCCCTGGTCAGAGACCTCTTCCTCTTCTGGGCATCTGCTCAGGGGTTGCTCAAGGTCGCCATCCAGGAGCTGGGGCAGGGGGTCTTCTTCAATGGAGATGATTCTGCGGAGTGGCCGGGGGTATGGACCCCCAGGCCCTGTCTCCCCGGTTCCTGGCTCCTCTTCTGTTAGGGGATATCTACTCAGGCCCAGGGAGCTTCTCCTTGGGATGCCAAACACCTCCTCCTCCTCCTCCTCTGACTGGCTATTGGGGCAGGAAGAGAGAAGAGCTGGAAGGATTTCATAAAGTATTTCAATATGGACTGCATGACAGCTTTTGTGACAAACAGATAACCAAGGAGTGTCACGCCTTTGGAGAAAAGCACTCCAGGAAAGGGAAAAACAAACGAGCCAGCATTCTGCAGCTCACTCATTCAGCAGCTTCCACTCGGTGCCTGCGGCCACTGCCGAGGCGGATGATGACAGAGATGATGAGGATGATGGTGATGATGATGGTGAGCAGGTGTTAAGTAAAGATGCCATTTACAGATGGACATAGTCCCTGTCCTCGTGGAAAGCTTGGCTTATGGGGGACTAAAGCAATAATGGCACAGATAAATACATCATTTACAAATTGTGAGACTGCTAGGAAGGAGAAGGACAGGTTGAGAAGATAAAGTCTCAGGCTCAGATATAAAACACCCCGATTAACATTATCAGGTGGCCTTTGCTCTGCTCCCAGCACCAGCCCTGACACACCAACGTGTGTCCCGAGGTGAGAGACTTCAACTCTTCAGGCCTTGCTGTAAAATGTGGCCTGACTACTTTGTCTATTCACAAATAAGACAATGCATAAAAACAGACATGCTTGTAAAACATCCTTGACGGTGCGAGGGGTACTGTTGCTTTGGGAGGGGCCCCACCTCCAGACACAGCTGGTCTGCTGGCTCACAGGCAGCTCCTCCCTAGACAAGAGGCTTTGGATCAGAAGAAAGCCAGGTGGAGCATCTTCATCCACCTCTCCTTCCTCTCCCTTTCTCTTCCTCGTTCTGTATCCCTGGAAGCCAGAATCAGGAGTAAGTGGCCTCTGAGGCCTAAGTGCACACTCACTTCTAGAAGCATTTGAGCACTAAGGACAAGGAGAAGGTATAGGCAAGGCAGAGAATTGGGCAATGGGATGTGGGGTCAATGCAGAGTCTGTATTTTCAGGTTTTGAGAGCAAAGGCCTCACAGAAACTGTCTTAAAGGATGTTTGACAGGGAAGACCTTAACAAATGTCTTCTTTCCAGCAAACTTCCTATATATCGTATCAAGCCTATTAAGTGCTTATCTGTTTTAGAACACAATTGGCATTCTCATCTAATTTTACTCTGCTTATAGACACAAAAGTGAATATTTGTGTGTACACAGGAGCAACCACACACACACACACACACACACACACACACACACACACACACACACACACAGAGCGTAGTTTTCCAAAGGCTTTGGAACCAGAAAAGAAATAGCCACTCAACCAGGCCTTAAAACAAAGCATTTCTTGGAGAAGGCTGTTTTCTCTGGGAAATTCTCAAGCACTACCACCATTCTGTAACACCTGCATCGTAGCATGACTGAGTCCCTTTCTGGTTTTGCCACCAAGTGCTCTCTGCCATCAGTAAGGACGGCAGCTTCTTTTGGCAAAGTCTGTATTAGAATTCAGGGCTCACCATTCGTTGCTGACTTGATTATTGCCTGCGTCTTCCACTCAACCAGAAATTCCATGAGACAGATGTAGGTCTGTTTTGCTCACTACTGTATATCCAGCAAATAGCACAGCACCTCACACATAGTAGATACTCAATAAATATGGATTAAGTGAGCATTTAATAATGGATATTAATGGTAGGACCTATGTGTAATTTATCTTTGGAGCCTTTACAGAACTCAAAAGAATGGTACAGAGTAGGTAATCAGTAAACGTCTGTTGATTCTATCAATCCATCCATTCAGTTCTGAGGAATCAACGGCCAACCGCTATCTGCAGAAATTTGACTCTCAGATTGTATCTCATTATTCAGCTATTTAGAACAAGAATGCATGATGATCAGGCCCAAAGGTTTTACTGATGAGCTGATTTACATCTCCAGAGCCACGTCCCCTTTGCATATCTTTTAACTTCATGCTTACGGTCTTCAGGGTCTCTCTGGGTCTGACACTGAAAGGTCAGGATGCCTCTGTCTCTCTGTGGCCATCTATAAGGACACAGCACAGGCCAAAATGAAGAGTAGGCAGGAGGGACCGGTTTGTCTCGTCTCTGAATGAGCAATGAGCCTACCCTTGGGTGTTCAAGCTCAATCATGTACTGCCCAAGAGCAACAAAATGTGTTATGTTAGAGTTAATTAAATCTAAGTCATTGCCCTAATCTTGTCTGTAAAAGGAGTTAACTATTGGAGATTCTACTTGACACTTTAATTAACCTTCATAGCCAGTACAGTCATGTTCCTAAAATACCAAGTGCATCCATTCTGCTCAGCAGACAACAGACTGTCATCCAGCTACACCCTCCATCTCTCTCTCACCCTTGACTCCTCTCTCTGCTGCTCTACAGTCCCTCTCTGCAGACACACAATAGGGTGGGGCAGGCTCAGAAGACAACGATCTGTCCTGGGGGGAAGGGTTGCTCTGCTCATTCCCCTTCTGGCTTGGATGTCACAACGGGGAGGGTCATGTGTTCCAAGATTTGAGGGGAGTGAGTGCAGCTGACCTCAGTTTCCTCATCAGGGCCACCTCTCAGGGGGACAGCAGGCACTGAGTGTGGGCCCAGAGCCAGCTCCCAATGAGTGCAAGAAGAATGAAGGGATGAGCAAGTGGAGATGACTTACCTCCTAAGAATCCCTCTGCCATCCACATATTTGCCTATCACGGAGCCAGATCTTCTTTTCCAGCTTGCCTTGGAAGCAGCTGTGTTTGCCTTGGCTGCCTTGTCTTTCTGTAGAAACACAAGATGCCCTCAGATCCATGCCTATTTGCCCCGATGTTTGAACAGAAAAGGACTCATGGTTCCCACCTCATAGACCAGGCTCTACACAGAATGAAGGAAGTAAGCAGTGTTCTGGTCTCCCTGCTAGCATTTACCCACTCTTCCCTTTTGCCATCACCCCCCCTCACCAGAATCCCTCCATCTCCTTTCTAGTTATCTAATCAATGAACAAATACACAGTTTAGAGCCTGGGATCCATCATTTTATTCTTCATAGGAGTACTGATAATTTGTAAAAGGAAAAAGTAGAAGA